TTTTGCAGTGCTAGTGCAATAGTACATCTTTTTCATTTCGGTTTTCTTAGTCTCGCATACATGTCGTTGCATTTGGTAGAATACTTTTCTTTTTCTCCTTAATTAATCAGATATGGAGGGGTGTAAATAAGTTGAGTGGAGTTAGACTTTAGTCTAAGTGCCTGTTTGTATAAGTTTTTATTCTTAAAAAAATTGTTTTTTTTTTTAATTAAATAAAAGTCCTTTTGACATTTTTTATATGGTTGGATAATAACTTTTCAAAAAAGTAAAGTTTAAAATAAAAGTTAATATACTATTTTTTTCAGCCAGTAGTTGGTTGCTTTTGAAAAAAGCAGAAATTAAAAGATAATATACATTTTTTTTTGGAAAATAAGATAATTATATAAATTTTTAAAATACAATTTTAACCTCATCCTATCATACATATTTTATCTCTTCTTATCCTACGATTTATCTCTCTTTATTGTAATTTTATATATAAAAAATATTTTTTTATATTTTAACATCCAAATAACATTTTTTTATATAAAAGTGATTTTCAGATTATATATCTAAACGTAAAATAACTTTATCTTTTAAAAAAATTAATGCATAAGAAGTCATTTTTTTAAAAGCTCATCCAAATGGATCATAAATAAGTTAGGTCTGTGCTTGGCCTAACCTGGCCTATTAATCAAGTATAGGTTATATTATAGATTTGATCTAGCTAATATATAAAAATAAAAAAGCCTGACCTAGGTCTTTTAACTTGGGTAAGCTTATCAAGCATTTAATAATTGTCAATATATATATATAGTTATTTTTTTTAAAGAAAATTATATAAATAATTATTTTATTTTATTTTAAATTAAAATAAATAATGTGATATAGATCAACTTATAAATTTGTAGGCCAAACTTTGTAAAAATAGGTTTACGGTCTATTTTTTAAACAAACTTTTTTTAAAGTTCAAATCTAATTTATTTTATTAAATATACTAGGTCAGATCCGACCTGATATAAATCAGACCATAGGGCCGTTATATATGTTGCTGAACTATTTACACCCCCACTGAGATATCCCAATCGGTATTATAACTACGAAATTAATTCTTGAGTCTAGAATAACGGTTAAACAAAGCCCACTTAAAAATGATAATTATATGATTCAAATTTCGAATATTACAAATAAGATTCATATAAAGTTAAAGCCAAATTTTACTGTAACTAACTATTATCAAGTAAATCTAGTTTTTGATTAGTTGCAATATTAACTACAATTCAAGTAACTAATATATTTGAGATCTTTTCATGTATTATTAAACATAAAATCCACCGTCAAGAATGGTCGGATGCGGTGATAAACTTGCATTCTTGTGAAATATAAATATCAGAAGATTTATTGAGAGGGACTTTAGTCACGACGGCAATGTTTAAGATTAAGCCGTTATATATATTTGACATATAAGATAAAACATAATATAAATTTTTAATTTCATATTATTAGTAAAAACACAAAACTAATAAAATAATAACAATAAGGAACAGCACTTAGGGCCGTATATTAGACGTTAAAATGGCCAGTGGTTGGGCGCTCCTCAAGGAGTCCGCTAGCAGAACGAGGGCTTGTCCCACATGATTATTATTATTATTATTATTATTAGGGTTTTGTATCTATAATTTAACATGACCACAATAACTTTCTTACACACACAACATTTTGTGGGACCCACAATTTTTGAAACCAAAAAAAAAAAAAAAACTCTGGCACGCAAAACGAATCTCTATAACATAACACAATCACTTTTCCTACAACATAACTCTTATTAAACCCTTATTATTATTATTATTATTATTCATTATTATAAAACGAACTAGAAAGAGACTCGTGACAACCTCGTGGTAGGGGCCCACAACACATTAGTATGGGCCCCACGCCCAATTGGTTGCTCAGTGCTGTGCCGGTGCGTCGTTGCTAATCAAAACTCAATATAGTGCCAGCGCTACTCTAGTCGAACCCCAAAAAACCACCCTTGGAAACAACGACGTCGTCTCGTGGACTGTACATGAATGGCTGCCACGTGTCACGTTTCCCCTTTGAAAAATTTCCCCGAAGACAGCATAGCCTTTGTTTATATTACAGGGGCAGGAATTGACGAGGGTTTGTGAGTTCGTCAAGTTTATGGTTTGGCTTCTTTAATGTTTGTTTTAATTTAAATCAAGTTTATGGATTGGCTTTTTTCTAGTGAATTTTATTAATAAATAAATTGTTAATAATTTATTTGCTAAACATACTTAGGACTAATTAGGTGTGTATTGAATTATGATTTAAAAAAAAATTTAAGATAAAAAATCTTATAAATTTTAAATTACTATTTAGAATTGGAGGGATTTTAAATATTTTTTAAAAGAATTTTTTTTTTTACAATCAAGATTTCGTAAGATTGAATTTTAAAATATTTTAATAGAATTTATAAGATTTGAAATGACAATATGAATTTATAAGATTTTAAAAAATCATATGAATTTTTAACAAATACTCAAAATTACAAGAGTCGATAAAAAAATAACAAAGAAATACAATGATATTAATAAAAAAAAGTAAAACCTAATATAATTTTCTCAATCAATAAAACATAATATAATTTTTAACAAATATTCAAAATTACTAAGCAACAGTTCTCAATACATCTAAAGCTATACTAGTCCTTCACGCATTAGCATTTTCTCATTCATGTTCTTGGGTTTGATCAATGGGTTGAAATTATCTTCTTAATTTGGTATCAGAACTATGCATATATGATTATAAGACCCAATTTTTTTATGTATTAAAATAATTCTAAATTTGCATATAGAACCTAAAGTTCATGATAAAATTTCTTTTGGAATTTTTTGCAATTGATCTTGAAAATCTTGAGATTTTTGTTCTACGTGATGAGAGTTTTTTAACCATATATCATATGCATATTTTCATTGAGTATTCTAAGAAAATTTTGAATATGAATTTCTGGGTTTTATTACATAAGAGTTTAGAAAATTTCTCAAATTATTTTCAATCGATGCATTGAAACCTTAAATTGTTTTGGGACTTTTGAAAAACAAGTTTTTAGTTATCTATCAACAAAAAAATTGTTAGAAATCATTTTCTATTGCGAATGAATTTCGTTCATAATCATTCTTTAAATTGATATTGTTTCATTGATGTAAAATGAAAATTGGTTTGAGGATTTTAGTTACCCTGTTGTTTTCCCACTATTTTATGTTGTTTCTAATACAAAAATCAGACTTTTTGTGCTAAGAAAAATCGCGACTCATAGCTTAAAAAATTATTTTTAAACTTTCAAAAGCTTTAAAAAATCTGTTGTTTTTAAGATGAATTATATTAGAATCTTGTTGGTTTGTTGTTTATAGGTTGCTTTGTGATAAAATTCGCTATTTTTATTTTTATTTTTGAGCTTTGACAAGGCTCCCATGATTGAACCTGGTTTCGAGCGGATAAATCTGTCAAAAGAAAAAGATACTGCAATAAGAAATCTCAAGAAATCCTAAGAATTAGGGTGAGATTGTGAGAAAGGCAACCTATTTATATTTCTCACTTGAAAATCTCACAAAATCCACACCAATAGAAAATTCATTAAAATCGTCAATTTTTTTGAATACCACAAGATTATTTTTCCTTTATTTAAAATCCTGATTGAATACTAACAAATTTGGACAGACTTTAAAATAATATTTTAAAATCTTAATCGAATATCACGTGATTTTTTTTAATATTTTAAAATAATAATTGAATACAAATGGATTTTTTGTCCAAAAATAATCCATTGCAACTCATTGAAATTCCAATCAAATACACCCCCTTAATTTAAATACAGTAAATGCAGATGGCTAAAGTTTAATTTTTTAAAAGTAAATTATTTAAAACTTTTAATCATTACATAATAGTTTACTTAAAAAAATACATGATAGTTTAAAAAAAATATCATGGTAGTTCAAAACTCTAATTTAAAAAGATACATGATAGTTTATGGAAAAAAATAAATACATGATAAAAAAAAAACGCAAAAGACAGTATAACGAGGAGTCAATGACCGCGCGGTGACTACTATTATTAAGTTTTTTTAGTTGTATCACGATTCTATTGTGTTATTTCAAAAAAAAATTGTGCTCCTTTCATTTTTAAATAATAATTTTTATTTTTTAAATTTTAATTTACTTTAAATTATTTATCATTTAAAAATTGGGAAAAATGTTTGTCATTTTAAATGACATAAAGTTACGTCATTTTAAGATAGAGACAGACACAGAAAAAAAATTATTTAAATTTTAAATTAAAAAAAACCATCCACTTTCTCTCTCTCATGATTTCTGTTTTTCTGTGTCTATCTCTCTTTTAAAATGACATAATTTATGTAATTTAAAATGACAAACACCAAACTCTTAAAAATTAATAAAATATTAAATAATTTTTTAAACTAAGTTAAATAAAAGAACACCAATAAATTGAAGTAGTAATTTAATTGAATTTTAAAATATTTAATTATATTTTAATCATTGTGTTTAAATGTAAATATGAATTATTTGAAAGAACATGTAAATTAAGCAAAATATAGTTAAGTTAAAGGGAATTACTTTTCTTATGTTACATAAAAAATTATTATCTCCTACACTCGTATTTTTTAAATGGGTCCCATAAATTTTTTTTCTTTCACCTTCAATATTTTTCTCTCTTCTAATTATTATTTGAGCATGAGATAATACTTCTCTTATGCAACATAAGAGAAGGATTACCCTAAGTTAAATATCAACAACGGATAGAAAACAATAATACTATCCCATTATATTATTATAAAATCGTAAAGCGACTAAGTAAGCGCACGGTGTCCTCAAACCAAATGACGAAAATGCCCCAAAGTTTCGTAGAATGCGCGTGCTTTTCCCGGATATGATGTGTGCTTGATATTTCGATTATATATAGGTTGGGATCGAATAGAAAGACCAAAAAGCGAGTGGCATTGGAATTGAGAACAACATCGTTTGGGTTGGGTTACTCTGTGTGTGTGTGTGCGCGTGCAAGTGGAACACAAACATCCAAAGAGGAATCCTGCAACGGAACTTCCTCGTTTGCCTTTCAGTTACTGTCTCCCCAAAACCCTTTCTTCTTCTTCTTTTTCATTATATATTTTTATATATATATACACAAAATATTCTCTCTCTCTTTTTCTTTCCCTTTGTTGCTTCTCCACTAAGAACGTCCGTTCGATCAATCACCGCAATAGGATTTGGATCTGAGCAATTGGATTTCGATTCTGCCCAAATAAGAGTGAATTCAAAAAATGTGGTGTATGAATGGTGATGCCGGAGGCCATTACTGTCCTAAGAAGACCGATGATTTGTGCGGCGATGTTTGTTGTCAGGTAATTATTTTACTATATTATTATCATCATCATATAATAAATATTTCATCTTTTTTTTTTTGGTTCTACTTCGGTTTTTTATGTGTTTTCTGAATAAGACTTTTACATTGATGTATTAGATGTGTCTCCGTTTGTCCCCTTTTATTAGTTTTGCTTTCGTGATTCTGGGTGTCTTTCATTGCTGGGGAAAACGAAAACGAAATTGGATGGCATTTTGTGTTTTTTAAGAGTTTGATTTTGTTTTAGACACAAAATGAAGATAGTGTAATCTCTCATAGTGGCTGGGCTGGTCATGGCCACTCTGTACTAGAGTTGACACTTTTTTCTTTACTTTTTTTTATGTGTACGTGATTTTCGTGATCTACATTTGGCTAGCGGAGAAAGAATGTTTGTTTTTTTTAAGAAAAAAGAAGCTTTTTTTAGCAAATCCAGAGGACTATTTCGTACGGACACATTCACCTCTTCCCCCCATTTCCTTCTTCTTCCTTCCCTTTTGTTTTTGAGGGGGAGAGGGGTTTGATTGCAGCCATAATGGGATTTTTTTTTGAACGGTTGCACAATTAGCAACTTGCATTTTGGGATTTTTGTACATGTCTCTGATCTGTTCATCATGATGCAGTTTTAGGCTTATGATTAGAATTTGCCCCTTGGTGCTCATTTCCATTGTCTTCCGGGAAATTTGTGAATGATTATTGAAAAAATTATATACATGGAGAGGACAAAATTGGTATTTTGATTATGGTTTAATTTATTTGCAGGATTGAATATGAATTGCATTGTTCAGTTATACTTTTGATTTTTTTTTTATTCATGAAGAATGTTTACTTAGGATGTTTGTTCTTTTAATTATGCAGGAGTCAAGCCAAGTATCTGGCATGTCAAGAATCCGATGCATTTTCCGTGGTATGGATGTAAAAACCTGTATATTTCTTTTTGCTGTTGTTCCAATGTGCATCTTTGGAATATACTTGCATGGTCAGAAAATCACCTACTTCCTGCGGCCACTATGGGAAAAACCACCTAAGCCTTTCAATGTCATCCCACATTACTATAACGAAGATGTGTCCATGGAGAATCTCTGCAGACTTCATGGCTGGGGGATTCGTGAGTATCCAAGGCGTGTGTATGATGCTGTGTTGTTCAGTAATGAGTTGGAAATACTTAACTTGCGTTGGAGAGAATTGTATCCCTACATAACACAATTTGTTCTACTTGAGTCAAATTCCACATTCACTGGTAAGCCTAAGCCTTTGGTTTTCAAAGGCAATAAACAGCAGTTCAAATTTGTGGAGCCCCGGTTAACTTATGGAACTATTGGTGGGAGATTTAAGAAAGGAGAAAACCCGTTTGTTGAGGAGGCATATCAGCGAGTTGCATTGGATCAACTACTTAAGATAGCTGGTATTACAGATGATGACTTGTTGATTATGTCTGACGTTGATGAGATTCCGAGTGCTCACACTATTAACCTCTTGAGGTGGTGTGATGAAACACCTTCAATCCTTCATCTTCAGCTGAAGAACTATCTCTATTCTTTCGAGTTTCGCGTGGATGATAACAGCTGGAGGGCTTCTGTTCACAGGTATCAGAGTGGTAAGACAAGGTATGCGCATTATCGCCAGTCTGATGACTTATTGGCAGATGCTGGTTGGCATTGTAGCTTTTGCTTCCGCCGTATCAGTGATTTCATCTTCAAGATGAAAGCCTACAGTCACAATGACAGAGTCAGATTCTCTCATTATTTGAATCCCAAGAGAATTCAAGATGTAATCTGCAAAGGAGCTGATTTATTTGATATGCTACCAGAGGAGTACACCTTCAGGGAAATCATTGGTAAATTGGGACCAATACCCCATTCCTATTCTGCAGTTTATCTTCCTGCTTATCTACTGGAAAATGCAGAGAAGTATAAATTTCTCTTGCCTGGAAATTGCTTGAGAGAGACAAGATGATCCTGGAAAAGTCCATTTATGATGCCGGTTTATTTTGCAGCTTGAGCTAACTCATGGTGGTTTTAACTGGGGTTTTGATGACTGTTCGTTACTGGTCTGGGTTGTTTCAATGTCCAGTGAGATATTGTTTTGGAAATTCATTGTGTTAGGACAAATTCTTTGATCCTGGGAGGAATTCTGTACATAACTTAGTTGTACTTCATTCAAAGGGAGCAGCATCTATTCTGGTGAGCAAGGGAAAGTGCTGTTTAGAGAACATGCTTGTGGTCATGAACTTTGTGTTATTTTGGATTAGTGTGGCTGATCCCCTGATACATTAGAGTTATTTTGGATTAGTTTCCAACCTTTTCCCGTTTGGGAAGTTTTGTGTTGCAGACTAATTTATTTTCTGTTTATTCTTCTTCTATGCTAACTATGTCTCATCTGATAACTCAATTTTCCTCAGTTATATAATATTGCTATCATAGTAACATGCCGGTCCAATTATGTTTGTGCCGTTTTGCTAAAGCGCAGTTTAGGTGTATTCAGAGTTCAAACTTGAGATATCTCGTTTTATATTTGTTTTATCGTTTTTAAGAAATTTATGCAAGTTTTAGTACAAAGTGCAGAGATGTATTCCTGCAAATGCAGACAGGAGTTGAAGAATTAATGTTGTTAATCAAATTTTCATAAATACAAAATATAAACAAATTTGTGTGTGTGTGTGTGTGTATGGATAAATAAATAAAGCTTGTGTAAGGATTTCTCTGTCCAAATCATTACTTTTCCTTGATATAGAGGGATTTTAGATTGGATTTTTTAGCACTTGTCCGGGAAGATTTATTTTGGATTTTGTTATCATCATATATATTTTTTGAAATTTGCATCTTAAGTCGCACGTAGAAGTCTTTTTTAAGTGGTGGCCGGGGGAAATGAAGGGCATGATTGATTTCTGTTCTGGAGAACAGTTTTTGAATTTTAAAAACAATAAAACAAAAAATTATTTGGAAAAGTTGCATTTATCTTATCTGTTTTCAAAACAGCTTCAGTGTTTTGGGGCCTTGTTTGATTGTGTTTTGGTTTTTTTTGTTCTTAAAACTGTTTTGTAGAATAATTATGAAAACTGTTTTTTTTTTTGTTTTGAAAGTTAAAAACAAAAACAGAAAACAAAAACAACTCAGACATGTTCTTTAAATTTGATTCTAAAAGCAAAAAAAACAGTTACAGTTTTTAATTTTTATTTTTTACAAAACAGGCTTACCAAACGAGTTTTTTTGTTCTAAAAACTAAAAAACTATTTTTAAAAACAGGAATCAAACATAGCCTTTGTTTTAAAAACCAAAACAGGGGATGTTTTCAAAAGCTGTTTTCTTGTTTTCATGGTGGCAATTTTGTATATACAATGATTCATTAATGGCATTTTTGTAATTAAATCAAATTTTATTTTAATTTTAAATTACTTTGCAGTGACAATTTTGTAATTACGAGGATTCATTAATGATATTTTTGTAAATAACTACAACTTCTTTATAACTTTAAAACTAATTATATTCAAACAGATTTTATTGTTTTTTTACTCTCAAAATCAGTTTTCAAAATTTATCCTCAAAACAGTTTTTAAAAACAAAAAAACAAACACATTCAAACACACCCGAAGTTACTAAATTTTTTTTTTTTTAGTGGATGTGTTTATACAATAATAATCTTGGTAAGTAATTCTATTTCACGTGAGATCATAATAGCACTGGATGCAATCTAAATATTGCAATTTCAATATGCACTTAGGTGTTTTGTGCTCTCTGTAATTTTGGATTTAAACGTATGTTATCATATTCACACACAATGCTGCTTGTCTTCTGGCGGAGTATATTCCCATCTTGTGTGTGCGAGTTAGATGGGCTGCAATAGCTTTCGCTATTAATTGAAGGCAATTGGGGGTGGAAGAAAGCCATATGTGATCTAGAATTGAAATAGTTACAAATTATAATGAAAAAAAATAAAAGGGGTTTACATTTCTGCACCTGTTATATGTGCAACAATTAAATATTTGACATATATATACGTGAAAGCATTAAATGCAGGAATCATAACCATACAAAAGATCAAAACATTAAATATGAAGAATTATAGCTATACACCTATTATTATTGTACGTAAAACAGTTAAAGAAATGATTTTACCAAAAAATAAAAAACGTGTTTCTGTATTCTAATTGAGAATTGCCTGTCTTAATTTTTTTTAGTAGGGCCAGGAGTCTAGTCAGGGATAAATTCTCAGTATTATTGTAATATTGAACACTCAATTCAGTGCTGTACTAATTCAAATTAGAAATAAATTATTCACTTAAATGTATTTGTTTCACTTAAATTCTCAGTATTATTGTATATTTGTCTGCTGAAATTTTATATTATTTTTACATTACTTTCTTTTTAAAATAATCACCAACTCCTTTGGCACATGTGGTAAGAAACTTGGACCTCTTAATCAGGAAAAATAATTTCATAGTCCTTTTCTCTCTCTTCTTTCTCTTTTTTTTTTTTTTTGTTTCTACCCGGCTCACGTGAGCTGGGATTGTTGAATAATTGCTCCTTAACCAGAAGTCTTACTCGATAGAGATTAGTTTTCGATTATAGTTGGAAGATATTCTTGATATTATTCAAAAAAATAAAAAATAAAAAAATAAATAATCAAACGTAAAAGCATACATTCTATCACATACTATTTTTTTTCCCCCTCCAAACATATAAGTGTGTAAAATTCTTTGCGGATATGTATCTTGTTTTCTTTTGTTCCAGATTTGATCTGATTTTTTTTTTTTTTTAATTCCAGTCTCATCAAGTCGAACCCAAATTTTAAATATTTTAAACAAATATACCTTTTTTTTTTTTTTTTTGTAAATAACAAATATACCTCTTTGATTACATTACATTGCATATGTTCGGACCCTTCACTTATGTAAGGGGTCGATCCAAAATTCTTTTGAGTGGAGAGAATTCGGTCCCATGTGAACGACTCATGGGTTGACACATCATAACGAATGTGATGCTTTTCTGTCCACAACACAATTAAGAATGAGATCTGCCACGCATGATGCTATGTTTAGAATTGTTGATTATTATTATGAATATTATATTTATAAATTCGTTCTTTACAAACTACGTACTTTTAAAAATATATTAGTGTAATTTGTAAAAATTTATAAAATAAATTTATAAATGGATCATTTCCTTATTATTATAATAATAATTATTATTATTAAGGGAGCGTTTGGTTGAGGAGAAATTTTTGAAATACTAGAAAAATGTAATTGATAGAAAAATGGTGGGAAAGTGAGTTTGGTAGGAAAGTGTAAAAAAAGTTGTTTGGTTGAAAAAAAATTTACCGGGTAAATTAGATAAGATTTATAAAGTCTATGTTTAGTTTTAGATAAAATATAGATGGGGAAATAAGTAATAATTACAAAAATGTCCCTATTTTTAAAATTTTTGGGAAAAAAAAAAATTGTGTGTATGGAATAGGTTAGTCTTTTCAGCATTGTAAACCTATGTTTCAGTATAATAAATCTGATGTAAGTTTATGAAAGAAAAAGTATCTTAACTTTGAATGTGTTTACAAAGCATATTAGCCCCCAGATTGTTGGCTCTCTCTCATTGTATAATTTAGGTCTTGTAGTGTCTGGCTTAAATTGATTTATCACAATATGCTGTCAGTTCAGAGCTCTCATCATATCGAAACTCTGAACTTGAACTTGAAGATGAACAAGTAGCCTGACCAATATGGGGAGGTCTAGCAGAAATCTTTGTGGTGACATTGTTCTTTCTGACTTTGACTAAGCATGGTTCTGATGTTTTTGAATTAGAGGAGCTTGTGGAGCTTGCAAGGGGGAAATGCGTTATCAACTTTGCTCTTCACAGGGATATTTTAGTCTGAGACATGATTCACTTTTTCATTTGCCCAGCTAAGTAACAAAAAACAATGTTGAAGATGTCTTTCTTAACCGTGAAAAATGATGGATTTCTATGACCAAACATGCTTTGCTAGGCAAGTGAAATGGGTAAGGAAATTTTAAGAATCAACCAACCAAACAAGGCTTTCAATGACACCCACCTCCATTTGCACAGGCAAGTTTTCAGAAAACCCCAACCACACACTACATAAGAATTTCATTAATCAACTAGGATGAGTTGCCTCATTCCAAATGAAACAAGGCTGCAGAGTTTCCTGTTCTTGTGACATGGGTACGAAACAACTGCTAAGGTATATAATATAGACAACCTTCTTCCATCAAATTAAAGCGACAAGGAATGCCATTCAATACAGTTAGTTTCAGCAATGAGATAAAAAAAAAGGAGAGGCCCTGAGCAAAAGATAAACCCAACATCAATCCATTGCCTCAGCTAACTTTAGCTCTGGACTCTTCCATGTTGCACGTTTCACACCAACACCTTTTTGGTCCTGGATAATTGTTCTCTATTGATCCCACCATTGAATAATATTGTATTATTTACAAAAAAAAAAATAAAAAATATTGTATTTCACACCTTTGACCGTAAATTAAATTTTTTATTATTGGTATTACTTATAATTCATCCAAAACTGGAGAAAACCGTGGCTAGCTATTTGGCTTCCCATAGGAATTTCTTATGGCGATTTTCTTAATTGGTTGTAAATTTTTTATCCCCAAATTCGCTTGTATCTAAATAACACCATGAATTCAATTATTTATAGCCAAAGGGAATAAATTATCTTCGTAAAAACAGACAAGTTTAAGAAGCATATCTTGGAAAAACTTAAAAAGAAAAAGGGGAAGAAAACTCATGAGCTTTAAGAATAAAGTTTTATTAATAATTTATGACCGCACTCTCAAGTTCAACCTTGTCTTTGTTCAAAATTCCAGTGAAATTGGCCAAATTAAATTCGGATACAAATTAAAGATGCTTTTATATATATATATATATAGGGTTAGGATCACTTTACACCAGTGTAAGTTACACTCTCAATCTTGTCCGTTGATCCCACTTATATCTAAGGGCTTAAATTTTTTAGTAATGTGAGCCATTAGATACAAGTGGATCAATGGTCAAGATTGAGTGTAAGACTTCTAACTCTTACACCAGTGTAAGAATATCATGTCCATATATCACTCTCAATCATGTCCAGTGAAATATGGACATGATATTCTTACACTGGTGTAAGAGTTAGAAGTCTTACACTCAATCTTGACCATTGATCCACTTGTATCTAATGGCTCACATTACTAAAAAATTTAAGCCCTTAGATATAAGTGGGATCAACGGACAAGATTGAGAGTGTAACTTACACTGGTGTAAAGTGATCCCGACCCATATATATATATATATATGAGGTAGGATCCTTTGACACCGGTGTCAAATTTAAATTTTGACACCTCATCTGAGAGCCATTAGATAAAAAAAGATCAACGACTCTGATCTGTAAGCATGTGACACCATTGATCTTTTTTGATCTAATGGCTCCTAAATGAGGTGTCAAAATTCAAATTTGACACTGGTGTCAAATGATCCTACCTATATATATATATATATATATATGGGGAGGAATCTTTTGACTCTAGAGTAAGACTTACAACTCTTACTCTTCATCTCAATCGTTGATTTCCGTCCATCTAACGGTTATCTATAACAATTAATTATTTATTTATTTCAAATAAATAATAACCGTTAGATGGACGGAAATCAACGGTTGAGATGAATAGTAAGAGTTGTAAGTCTTACTTTAGAGTCAAAAGATTCCTCCCCTATATAGGCAGGATCATTTGACACCGGTGTCAAATTTGAAGTTTGACACCTCATCTGAAAGCCGTCAGATAAAAAAATCAACGAATTTATAAACAAACTGAACGTAGCCTAAATTGGATGAATCAGGATAAATGTGGGTCAATTCTCTCACTTTTCATTTGCTATTTGTGTGTGATTGTCTATTCACAAGATCCAACCTGAATTGTTATCTATCTAATTCATAAAATATAATTATTAACGGCCTATATAAGGGTCTCCAACAAGGTACAAAAATCCATCAAGCCAACACAATTCAGATAATATATACCTAGCAGCAAAACTAGTCAACATGCAAAGGAAGCTTGGATTTCAACAGCAATGCTATGGCGATGATGGCATGTGGATGGATACTCAGGCTCAGCAGCATAACTATGCCTTCCATGAAGAGTCTTGGAACTCCGATAACAACTACCACAAGCAATTCCCAGGCATGATGCACATGAAGCCTGGTGCTTTTGCTATGGAGTCTGATCAGTTCTCAAAACATCATGGCAAGTTAGGAGGATCAAGCCATGGCATGTTTCAGGAAATCAGGCCAGGTGGCCATGGCTATGGTCATCATCATCATGTGCATGGTGGCGGCAAAAATTTCCCTCATGGAGTTGCTAACGCGACTCATCATTTCTCAAACGGCGGTGTCAAGTTCAAGTCCGGTGGCCACCACCATGATTATTTGGCGGAGGAGTCAGAGTATGAAGCTTATGGTGTGGAGCATCATGGTGCAGCCCCAGCGAGGATTGATGAAATGAGATACGAGCGTCATCATAACTATGGTGGTGATCATGGCTTCTATGCCAATCCATATGACAGGAAAATGCAAGGGAAACCCAACAAGGTTGAATGGACAGCAAAAGGGGTCTAATATATGCCCAACATGCATGTATAACGTACCAGCTGCTTCCTCTTGATCCTTGTTAGTTCCTATTAATGTTACAACAATAATAAAACGTGTGCTTTCTTGTTTTCTTATTGTAATAAGATTCCTCCCTACAGGACCTTTGTGACGCTTGTAATATCTAGTTTAACTTATGAAGCTATAATATGGAGTTGTCTTTGATTATAATGTCTGTTATTGTTTGCTTCATCCAGTATTTTTAGCTCAATGCTTTTAAGTATTATCCATATATACCTTTTATCTTGTATCATTTTCAGTCTACAAATTCGACTGTGTTTGTATGTCATAGGAGACTTGCAATACAAGGAAATCATTAACGAGAATCTCAAGCATTTTGTTATGAAGTATTTTCTATGCGTGAATACATGAGAGGAGAGAATGTTGTTTTGTTTAGTTACCTAAAATAATCTTGTCATATATATCACCCCTTTTCCTTTTTCATGATTCTATACTCCAATAAATTTGTATGAATTGCGTTTAACAAAATGTCACATCAATTCTGCATAATGACACCTCAATTTTTGAGTCACCTACAATCACTCAACATCTCAGTAGTTTACTTGGTATGAGCACACATCCTATTATTTTGGTAAAACTTTCATGTCAAGTTGTTTTTGTATATCAGTCACCACCTCACAATTGACTCTCAAGCATAAAGTTTAACGGTAAGCTCCTCCAATAAATACAGAGGTTAAGACCCATAATATGAGTGCTATTTATTCACTAATAGGAGCAAGGAATTGATTTCCTTGAACCATCACCAACTTGCTAAAGTGAAACGAATCCAACTGAATGGTGGTGACATTCGAATTGGTTTTCCCACCCATCCATCGAAATTTCCCAATTAGTTTCAGATATTCTATAATGCCCCATCTTGGTACTCAAAAGATCCACTTCTCCTAATTTAATTTAATTTTCTTCTTTTTGGCTTAAAAGTTTCTGCCGAAAGGAGAGGCATCAGATTCAGCCTTATCATAATAGAATAAGTTGAATAACAGCATAAAAAACACATCCACCAAAATAAAGCATAACATATTCACTTAATCACTAGTTTATAAGTATTAGCTGAAAAGTTGTTGAAGCTGTAAGAAAACCTCAAGTAAACCACATTTAAACAGGGCACCCTCAAGATAAGAAATGGCATTTCAATACCCCAAACATCAAGGGTGGTGCCCCTCCAACGGTTACCAAGTCCACGAAGTAACAGGGCCTGCACTTCGCAAGCGCCCTGATCGTCCTCGACAGCAAAAGGGTCATGTGACATTCAAAACCAACGTCGAGGATCCCATAACAGTAGTGGAAGCACCCCCTGTTGCAGAGGCACAGACAGAGACCACTAGTAACCGTGTAAATGCTATTGAGAGCGTAGACCAAAAAGCTGATGACTTTATTAAGCAAGGGCACATAAGGATTGAACTTGCCAGGCTCAAGTCTCTGGGGAAGTAGCTATTTAAGGTGGTGGTGGTGCTGCATGTGCAGGGTTATCATATACATAAAAATAAATAATGCATCAAGGCCTCACTCTTCTATGGTGTGTTCAAAATAATTTGTTACTTCATATGTTCCAGTAGAGTGCTCATTATGATTAACTTATGTGGTTTTCATGATGTTTGGTTCTTCCTTTCCTTTCTTTTCCTTTGAATTTATAATTGATCATTAGTTGTCATAGGTTTGCACACAATTGATAGTATCACTATGCGTGCCAGCTACCTTTTTTTTTTTTTTAATCCTATATTCCAGCGAGTTGTGTCATCACCAAAATATCTCAGCTATTACGGAACGAGCTTAATAGCAAAAATGCTTCCAACTCGTCATTAATCTTTATATCAATCTTCGTCAGTTTATTAACAATCCCCTTGTATATATTCAGATGCTAAATCATACTTTGTTCTTATAGTCTAGCTTTACAAGTGGGCACACCAAGTGTGCTTGTATAAGCTCTTGTTAATATACTTGTGGATCATAGCGATTGCTTTCCAATTCAGGAGATTCCCCTCTTTATTGCTCTTCCCTTCTGCTTCATCATGGGTTTCTACTTTCTAGTATGAGTAATTCTCTACGGTGAGTTTGAACATGTCACGATCATGTGCTACGACATCCTCCATCTCTGACCTCATAAAGCCCTTGATCTAAGAGCTCTAATACTACTGTTGTGTCTCGAAGCCCGACACTTTGTAGCTCGGTCTCTATGTCGAATAGCTCAGCCTTCTTCAAGTCAGCTTATCAACAAACAACAAAAATAAAAATAAACATAGATAAGAAAATCAGAAAACTCTAAGGCCCTGTTTGGTTCAGGAGATTCTATAATTTTGCTAGGAAAATGAACTTGGCAATCCAGCTTGCCTTCGTTTGGTACACAAGTTTGCAAAGTTGCCCATGTATCCCATTTGCATGGCATGTCTCCTTTTGGTCGATGAAAGATGGGCATTTGCACGGTTCAAAAAGCCAACTTGGACGTGGGTTTTTGGTGATAGCCATCTAAATTGAAAAGTGCAAAACTGAAGCTCCCCAAATTATCCTCGTTGTGTGGTCAACAGCCCCCCACTTGGTTTTTTTGAAGAAAGAAGCTTGTCTTTGTAAAGTGGGTTAATTTTGTAAACTCGCACACATTTTTCCATCTATATATTACCTAATTTCCCCAGTAATTTTTTTTCCACCAAACAATTTTTTTTTTTTTACATTTTCTTATCTATCTCACTTTCTTACCATTTCCCTATCAATTACATTTACCTAGTATTCAAAAAATTTCTCCTTAACCAAACACCCCCTAAAACTTTTAACGTGAAAAACCTTTTCGAAGTAAATAATAAAAATCACGGGACCAAATACACGAAACTTTCGCTATGAAAAATGGGATTACACAAAAGATTCATTTTGAGACAATAACTAGAGTACTTTACCCTTTAAAACGATGAGTTAGACAAGTGTCTCAAACAAACGTTCTTCTCTATAAAGGGAAGATAAATCATACTCTACAATATATATTTCTTCAATAACGACGCTAGATTTTTTTCATAGAGAATCTTCATCTTTGTCTTGCGCTTTCTTCGCATCTGTCTCTATTTTCTCTCTCTTAACTCTGACACCCATTGTTGTCAAAAACTAGTGTGAAAATGTAAAAACTTCCGTTTATTGGTGTTAAAACGCAAGTAAAACCGGTTATTGGTAAAAGCTGGTAAAAACGCCACGTAAAATCGTAAAAGCTATAAAACTTACGTTTTTACTTAAAACAATTTTTTTTAAAAAAAAGTTTTACAAAAAGAAATTAAAAAAACCCAATTTTCATTTTCCTCAAATCATATACACATTATCTTGATATCTTTTTGCTTGGATATATGTCTTTTTTAAATATGTCTTATAAAGCTACAATTCTATTATAAGTTATGCTATGATAATCGTTTTATATTTTTGGATTATTGTATGCATAGAAAAAAGTTGAATTATATCCTGATGAGCGATGATCTAAAATCTGCAGAGTGTATGAAACAGTTAGAGCAGATTGGTTATCCATTACTTGTTAGTTATCACTGTTTATAATTTTGATATTGGTTATAAAAATAATTTTTCTTTTTAGATAGATAAGTGACTCAATACATATGTTTATTATGTGATATTTTTTTTACATGCATATATATAATTTTGTATCTTGACCTTAAGTAATAAAAAATAAAAACTTTACATTTCGTGTCATTTTTAAGTTTTACAATTTTACCACCTCTTTCTATTTCTAGGTAAAAACTTGACTTCGACAACATTAGTGGCATCTCAACATTTAAACATTCCTTATAAATAAAAAATTATGGCACTTATTAATTAGGCCAGAACCACCATGGACCACAGACTCAACACAATATCCTCCTTCAATGCGGAATTTTGCATAAGTATGATCAATTGTACTGTCTTTGAGTAGTCTTTGGGGACAACTGACAGAGAATTCAGAGATGCCAATTGAACTCCAGCAAAACACAAGTGAGTCAGAAACCCCAATCTCCTATATCATTAGAAACCTAAATGATTGATTAGTTTGTGGGGTTAATACATTTTTATTTTATATGAACTTCAAGAATAATTGGTTGCTATCATGCTACGACTCCCGGCCCCAAAATCTCAAGTTGCATAGCTAAACTCGTGTGACCAACTGAACACTGATTAAAAGTTATTAAAAAAAGCTTTCAATTTTTTACTTTCACTTTAAACACACTACGAATTCTGTTGAATTTTTCTTTTTCTTTTTTTAAAATTGAATTCCAATATTGTTCTCTATTTTCCAGAACCTAAATAACACAAAATGACCATTTAAGGGCCAAAGTTATCGATAAACTAGAGAACAAGGAATACCGACACACGTAAACTGACATTTCTTGTACAATTTTGGAATATTTGCATAGTTGTATCAACATGTTTATCCGAAGAAAAAAATTATATTTTTATCAGTGGTATTTTATTTAATTGAGACTATATTATTCAATGAAATAATTATTGTTTATAAGTTTAATTTAATTGACTATAAAATTTCAGATGATTAACAAATTACCTTAAATAAAAATTTTCCTGTCTAAATGTAATTGGTAATTGTTTGATAAAATTAAATTTCAAATAATATTATTATTCATGATCTAATTTAGATATATTATATGAACTAATTATACAAAAAATAAGGTAAAATTGAGATTCCCAATTTTAAAATAAATTTATAATCATAAGGTCAACGAGAAATAGAGAATACCATCTCCCGCGGCATTTCCTCCACCCAAATAATAGAAAAAAAAAGACAACGGAAGAAAATTGAGACAAAGAAAAGAAGTTGCAAACGCATAAATATACCAATTTTTGCACTACACACAATTAAATCTGTTCATTGTAGGCTATTCAAATTGGAATTACGCAGAATCATGCAGTGCTGAAAAGGGATTTGAAATAACTTATCACAATTGCACATACAATTCAAGCAAAGGACAATTTTTTGTGATCTCTAAATTTGTTCCAAAATAAAAGACTAAACTAAAGAGACAGAGAACAAGAGTTGGTTAAACAAGTTACACAAAAGAAACAAGCTAGCATTGATTTGAGTCCTTTGACCTTTGACAACAACAACTAGCTCTCTCTATATATATAACTATTCCATGGAACGACATAAAGGGCATGTGGTATGTTTGTTATCAAACCATTTGTCTAAGCAACCTTTGTGGAAGAAATGCTTGCAAGGCAACTCGCTCACCTCTTGATTCGCTTGAAACCTCGAGAGACACACGCAGCACTCAACCGTAGTTGTGGTGTTGTTGCACAAGGACTTGTAATGGGTTATTGACACCCTCCTTTCCCGTGAACTCTCGTGCGACTCTTGGTCCATATTTGGAGAATACGAGGTACTAGTTGTTGGAGTGGCACCAACTACTTGGAGCAACGATCGAAACATGTTCTTTAAAAGTGCCACTGAAAGAACAGTGTTCATCACGAGCACAGGTAATACACCTTCAGCTGCACTAGGATAGTTTGAAAGACCCATAATTCTTCTCTCAAAAATCAACCACAATAGAAGAGAAAATTCAATGAGACCCAGCCAGCACAGGTCAAGACAACAATAGCTGGCTAGCTAGCCCAACATACATCATCCCTTTACATAACAAAAACACTAACCATGGTTCCTTCGGTAACCAGGGACAGGATTACACGTGGCGACACGTGTAAGGCTTTGTAAGTGCATCGCTGAAGTGATAAAAAAAAAAAAAACAATAAATGGTACTTTTCACCATCACAATAAAGGTTAAGTTTGAGAGAGCCACGTGTTCACTTAGGTGTGCGGTGGCCACAGCGGTTGTGACTGGTGGCATGCATCCTCGCCTTTCAGCTGGAGCTTCCGAAGTTTCTTGATTTCCGGCTGGGTCCGCCTAATGTCTAACTCTAAACGTAACGCTTCATTCCTTTTTCTTTTTCTTTAAAAAAACCATTACATTTATCTTAATGTATAGTCATAGATATTTTTCTTTATAAAAACATTAATTATCTTTTTGAGTCGAGTAAATTTTTTAAATATAAGCTTTGATTATTGAATATATTACAAAACTAATCCCAAATATAAAATGAGTCGAGAATTAAAGTCACATGTCTCTCCCTAAAACGATATTGATATAAATCAAACCGAAATCTTTTCTCATCTCCTCCCATCACTGGGGAGCTCAATCGAGGATTATAGATGTACTTTTAGGGAAATAATAATTTTATGTCACATAAGACAATTATCTTATGTTACATACTTATGAAATTTTGTGTCTATTTTTTTTTTTTTTTAAATTGTGGGCTCATAACTTTATTTTTCCCACATGAGATACCTATCTTAAGCAACATAAAATTAATAACTCCTATACTTTTATATCTACGTTATTTTTATCTTTAAAGCATTTTGGTGTTGTGTGCTTGACATGACTATATATATATATGATATTATGAATTAAAAAATCTGATTTTTCAATTTTTAATAATACATATACAAAAGTCTTAACTTAAGTATGAAATTTATTTATTGGTGCAATTATTATGGAGTAGGATATTGTAACAATCAACTAATGTTATTATCAATATTACTACTAATCAATTTCATCATTAGATCAATTGAAATGATCCAACGGTTATATTTATTTCCATCTTTATATGGTTATGATTTCCCATATTTAATGTGAAAGCATTAAATATGAAAAATCATTACGATACAAAGATGAAAATAAATATAACGTATTAAATATAAAAAATCATAACCATATAAAGATGAAAATAAATATAACCATTGGATCAACATAACGATCTAACGGTAAAATTAATTGATAATAATATTAGTAGTAACACTAATTGATTGTTACAATATCTTTACAACATTAATAGTAAATATTTGATCAATTCCGCTTGCCTAACCCAGTTTCACGCCCACCATACACGAAACTTAGAAACCAATTCCAAAAGTTTTGGGTTGTTTTCTTCTTCTCAAAACATACACAAGGCGTTTCCAATTTTGAAGAATCTAGCTGAGTTGTCCTCATCGTACGAAGACTTGTTCAAGTATTTGATTTGACTTTCAATTATTTGATCTGAGGATAACGATCCTCTTGAAGTTTTTTTTCTCTCTATAAACTGCATAACCATTAAATCTACTTTATTATATGACAAGTTTATCTTTCAAAATTAAATTTGATACCTTTAACGGCTAGATTAGTTAGTGCACTCCCTGAAGTTTCTTTTAAAGTTGCATGGATTCAAATTCTTGATTTGATTAAAATGGTGGTAATAAAAAAAAAAAGAAAAAAAAAAGACGGTAGCCACAGCATCCATTCAAAATGGAACCTAGAAAGTTGACAAGAGTTGAACATGTGATAACTTAAACGCAACGATACTTATGAAAGGTAAATGGGAACCCCGCATATCAAATTTGCGTCCCACACCCGATTTTGAAAGTGACTCTCCTGCTATCTTCTGTTTTCAACTTGTTTTTGTTTGGTTTGTTGATGTAGCTGCTAATGTCCACATATTCTTCCTACTCCTGCTAAGGTAAAGAATATGGTTGTATTTCTATATTTAATAATGAGTATAATCAAATGAAATATATGTAAGAACAAAATATAAGAGAATATGATATAATAGAGTAAAATAAAATGAGGGTGAGCTTAGTATAATTATAATCCACTCCCATTGCTACCCTGATTTGTCCCCCCTTTTTTTTTCTTAACCATTGATGAAGTATTAACATCAACATTAATAACATTTATCCCAAACTAATTGGAGTCGATAATAGATGAACCTAGAAAGGTTATAAAAGATTGACAACGAATGAAATGATAAAAATTATAACTTTATTAATTCCATCACATTCTCTCAATTTCAATAAAAAAAATGAGAATATTAAATGAAATAAAATAAAACATACTCACGATGTTCCATTCCTTTTTTTTTATTTTTTATTTTTTTCAATTTTAGAAAATTCAAACTATACATAGCTCTGTTATCAGCTCCAATTCAAGGACAAAGAGGCATTTCCATTTCCTACAAGCACATGTATTATTGTTTTTGAGACGAGTTACAACGCAAGTACTAATTTTCTTCACTTGATTTACTCACTTTCATCACTGGAATTCTACATTGAATTGAAGTTTGGCCTCTAGCTAGGACTCTAAATTGTGATTTCATGTAACTAATGTTACATAGGAGCATTTTTTTTTATCTAGGCATAATGGGGGCAATAGCTGTGTACAAGTCAACTTTGGTCGTTGTCCTCTAATGAAGAGTGGAATTTGACATATCAATTCCAATGGACTTGTAATACGCGTTTTCTGCATTTGTCAACCGACCCTGAAACATGGTCCACTCCTTTCTACACCTCTCCCTCACCTGCCACCAAGAAGAAGGAAACATCAACAAATTTCATAATCAAAGTCCTTGAGATAACAATTACATCCATTATAAACAGCTTCTTGCTTAGTTTAATAGAATTTTAATGTTAGAAAAAGAATCCAAAATACCATATGGTCATGAGGGAAGTAATCAAACAAATAGTATATAATGTAATAAAGCTGAACAATATGAAACATGCAAAATGTACCCCTTGCCATGGTGCTTTCCCAGTTTCTGATTCGCCCTGCAAAGAACAAGGAAATTAAGAAGCATTTTAATAGCATCATTTTTAAGTAAAATTATCAAGTCTAAAGAATAATCACGGCTAGGGGTGTAAATAGGTCAGGCTGGCCTGACCTACAGCCCAGCCTACGTTGAACCTGGCTTAGCCCGGCCTACGTTGAAAAGTAGAGCAGACTTAGCTTATAAAAAAGCCTTTTTAACAAATAGGCCGTAGGCCAATTTTGTCAAACCTGGCCTAAAGCCTTGTAGGCTGGCCTATTTAATTTTTTTTTTAAAAATATATATTTATTTTAGGTGACAATTAGTACCAACCCTTGTCTTGATGGTGATTTAAAGATATTTCAATGAATGATATTCTCTTGTAGACTTTATTTCAGCTTTGGTTGACCTAGTAATTGTATTTTTTTATTTTCTCCATTTCTTTGACTCTATTCCTCTCTGATATACATTATAGAGCTGGGGTATTATGTTGACTCTTTTTTGTTTGTCATTTTTTATTTCTTATGAGAAGTACTCGTGCATCAAGAATGGAACTTTGCTCAGTATATTTTTAGTTATTTTTTTTACTATTGTAAAATTTTTAATGCTCACTAGTTAAATTTATATCTCGTGTAAAAAAATGCAACAATTTATGAACACAAGCGAATATTTTAAAAATTGTTAAAAAAATTTTAAATTTTTTTTAAAAATATATCACGAGGGAGGCCTACAAGGCCTGTAGGCAATATCAGGCTCTCTAATTTTTAAAAATAGGCCATACTTGGCCTATAAATAAAGCCTTTAGTAGGCCAGATAGGCTGTCAAAGCCCAGCTCAGCCCATTTACACCCCTAATCACGGCAAACAAATTACCTGATTCCCTAGTGAGGGAACACCTTGGTGAACAATCCACTGAGAATCAACAACTCCAATCTTCTCATGTGCGGGCTATATCAGCAAAAGAAGACAGTAATTTAAAGCTCCATAACAAGTCAAGAAATTGGGTTTTCAGAAAATGTCTGAATGGACTCACCTCAACACATCTTCTAAGAGCAAAATCAAGACCCCACCCGTGGACCAAGTCATTCTGCAATGCCAAAAGTAGCACAATCATAATTCATTAAGTGGTTAAAGAAACATTAAGCAACTAATCAATGAGCATTTTATTAAAACAATTAGGATTAACCATTCAACCTGAATCATATGCCATACACAGCGCCACGCATCTCGCGAAAAAACTGGAGCCATAATCTCCACAAACCTGAATTCATATAACAGTGATGACACAATTAGATATCCTTTGGTAGACCTGATAATAATAATAATAATAATAATACAGCAGTTACTTACGCTGCACAAGGAGGCAGATGAGGATCAGAACACCATCCCTGTTTCTCCTCTGTTACTCTAATAGAAATTCAAGAAAATAAACAGTTAATGCTCATTTTTTTTTCCTTCTAAATAACATGTACCGCAAGAAAACTGGTGCAGGACTCCAATCATTCTTACTTGTGAACTTCCTTATCACCTCTTCTTTTTGTCATTTGCCATGTCAAACCTTTATTAGGTTCCAAACCGGGCTGTGAAATCTCCAAGCCATGCTTCCTCACCAGTTTTAAGTACCTGCAATTGAAATAAGAGGGTATAAGAAACTTGAACCACTCCCCATTAAATCCCGACTAGCGAGGGCAGGGATGAGGGCAATCCTTATATGCAATCTTACTCTTGCATATTTGCAAAGAGGCTATTTTCCGGATTCGAACCTATGATCTTACAGTAACAAAGAAGCAGTGAGTTTTATCACTGCTCCAAGCTCGCCCTTTAAGGTATATGAAACTTGATTAAAAAAAAATTAAAACTTCTAAAAAATATCCCTCCGATATTAAATACTCACTCTTCTGCATTGAAATGCTCAACGCCCAGGTCTTCATCCCATATAAATATATAGTCATATGCTGCCACAATGTCAGGATGCAGAAACCGCTTGGCATACCACCTAGGAGGGGAAAAACTAAAATGATCAATATGATAACATAATTGGAAGAGCAAATCACTTTTAATTAGGTAAACCCGAAATACTATTTACTAGCAAAAGACAGGATGAAAAATTGTCATCTCAAAATTATGAACACACAATAGCTTCTTACCATTTGGTCTGTTTGCGAGCACTCACATGAATTGCTTTCTTTGACCATTCAAAGTCATCCCATTCAGTTGTTCGGCCATCGTAATGAAATAGAAGGATTGTGAAGTTCTCTGAAAACTGTTCAAGCAAATATTTAGTTAAAAGGAACATAAACAAGCATATGCAAAAAGAGAGAGTAAGAGACTGCGAGAAACCTTTTTCACAGCTGCATCAATATTATTTTTTTGATTAAGGCCAACAGTGAAGGTTACAAGGTACTTTGGTTCCGAAGTTAAATCCTGCAATGACAACTTAATTAAATAATCTTGCCAAACATCTTTTACTAGTTTCATTTACTATAGTATAACAGATAACAGGGCCTTAATCTGTATTTAGCTATATTATTTCCATGCATGAAAATGGACAAACTTTCTACACTTCAAGCTCCCTCCCCACCTCAAAAAAATGAAAAAAAAAAAGCATTTATTTCTCTTATGACATTTAGAGATTTTAGCCACGTTGAGCATGCAAAGTGTTGTAGGAAACACACCTCACTGGGTTTACCCCACAATCTACGCAAATAAAAGTCTGATTCAGCTTCAACAATGCCGGGAGGTAATCTTTCTGCACCTCTTGGATTTGATGGAACCCAAATCTGCAGAGACACAAGAAAATAAGGAGCAAGGGACTGATCAATATTCAGAATTTAAGTGGCCATTTTCCCAATAATATATAAAGCAAAATCATTCTTGGAACCCCTTATCAGTAGCATATTAATGAACGAGCATAAGCAAAACGCCTATAATAACAGGAACATGTAGTAACAGAAGGACTAATCCTCTCAATCATATAAAGCATAAAGTTATTGACTACCTTGAATCCCTGTAAATCCAGGAACTTAAAGTGTCCTTAATAACTACGACAGGATACAATGTGTACCTTTAATGTATCATTTGATAATTGACCTAGTGATGAACTTCTGTTATTATTCTTCACAAAAGACCAAGCGTGGCGACCTGTATATTTGTCTTCAATGTAAGAGAGATCAATGGAGGGAAGCAGGCCAGATGGGAGATTCAACTGCAAATTGTTAAGCACTATTAGCATTCCATTATTAAGCCCAATAACATAAAACCATTGACAAAAAATTACTTCAGCACACGGTACACCCATAAGGAGGAAGAAGATACACAGTCTGCACCTTTGTTATTGTCAATGTTGGAAATGATACGCCTATAAAGAAGCCGAAAACTACTCCAATAAAAGTTGTCACAATAAGCCTCATAATTTCACTTGGTTTTCTAATAATAGAACTGCAGCCAATGAAAAGGAAATGTCACTTGAAGGGAGTTGCTGACATTAATTAGTATATACAAAATTTCTCAGAAAAAACAGAATAATAAGTTAGCTATCTCCAATGATTAGACCTGCGATTAACGATCCCCATTTATATCGGCGCTTCTCTAACTGTATGCTCATAAAACTATATGCAGGAGCTATTCTTCACCATTTAGCAATTGGTGTGGATCCTCCTTACTAGAAACAGATATGCTTGTTAAAAGAATACAAACCCTGCTGAAGGTACAAAGAAGAAAGAACAAGATACATTAATAAATAAAACCAAATAATGATTATTGTTTGGGATACAATGTCCCCTAATATCACCTCAAATTCCCAATATACCAGTTGGATTCGCAAGTCAGATTAGTTTACTTCTATTTATGAAGGTGTTCCACAACCCAAAGTGGCATAGCAACTTATCATAGTGACAATCTATCAAAACTTTCCAACATATCAAATGACAATTATGGAAGCAAAAGCGCCTCTAGAAGGCATGGTCTAAATGTGTGCTAGAAGTTGCCTAGAAGCAATAGCAAAGGAACCAAATTTAGCTAGAAGCCCTCGTTGAAAGACAATGAGAGAATTGAACCATAAGCAAGAAAAGCATGTGCTTTTCCTCAATTACCTCCGAAAATAACTCGACAGGTCAAGCAACTCATGTGATCTCTTTGACAAAAGACAATACGCATTACACAAGGCAACATACATGATAATGACCTGACCCCAACTTCGTAGCTCCACAATTACAAAATCATGCGGCAGTTTATATCTAAAATATAGAAACTAAATATAGGAAATACCATCGAAAGATTCAAATGAATAAAAGGAAAGAAAAGAAAAGAGGAACAAAAAATACACATATTCATAAAAATATATAAAACTTAGCATGTTTGGATTATCTTATTTTCCTCATTGAGAAAAAGCTTTTCAAGCAAAAATTCTCTATTGAGAATATTAAACATTAGCCTTTTTCCCGAAAGCAATAAGCTAACACAATCAAAAGACGAAATGATTATACCAATTAACATAAACTGGATTCATTCAACAATAAGCTGTGTTATGTTGTGACCAAGGATCATAAATTTCATCCCTTTTTTCTTTCAGAAAAGAAGGGGGGAAAGGTACATAAAGTTACATGGGGTTCAGTTATATTTTGCTATGTTCTCTAGTAACTCAATCCTAGTAATTGAAGTTTCCATTTTTTTTGGTTTCTCAACTCTAAAACTGCAAAGATAATTAATTGGAGAAGCTGAAAACGTACCAAGATGAAGATCTGACCAAAAATGGAAACTTTTTTGTGGAAAGCTGATAAAAACAACACCCCAGCTGCTGAAGCTTGGAGGAAGAGTTTGGTGATGGTGCTAGCGTTATCCCAAGAGCCAAACAAACTTGGAAAAGACCGAACAAACGATGAATTAACGGACGGCAAACACAAGAATAGAAAGAATAAATGACCAATGGAATCTTCCCTCTATGGTTTGGGTTTTGTAACACTACCAAACAAGATCTTTTGAGAGTTTAGAACAGTAGAAACAGGGTCCTCCTCTATTCAGAGTTTCTGTTTTTATTTTGGACCCTTTTTCCTTTTTGGTTTTGGAATTCCCCTTCTTTCTTCCACCACTACTTGATTGAAGTAAATTTAAAGAAGAGAGAGACATATATATATATATAACAGACACAGTGATTAAATTTGAATTTAAATGCATTTAGGATGGCCAACGCTTGATATTTTCATTCAAGTTCTTGACAGAAACATAAGATGGGGTATCATAAAAAAAATAAAAAAATAAAAAAGAAGATATGGGGTGGTTTAATTCGTTTAGGCAGGGATTTAGGTAGAATAAATTAGGTGACTTTTCAACAAATATCTAATCTACGACTCTTATTATATGACTTATCTTTGTAACAAAACTGAGCGGAAACCGGACCTTTCATTTAAGTGCTTATTTAAAACGGACTTCTCAACCTATGTTTTGAAAATTGAAATTACTTTTTGTTTGACTAAAGGGAAAAATGTTTCTTATTTTAAAGGGTATAAATTTAGAGTTTGATTTTTCTCATGTTGCATGAGATAATTTGTCTCGTGTAATACACAAAAAAGTGAATAGAACTCACTTTGAAGAAGAGATAAAAAGGAAAAAGGTGAGTCTCGTTCACTTTTTTTGTGTGTTGTATGAGACAAATTGTCTCATGTAACATAAGAAACACATTTCCAATAAATTGTCTCATGTAAAATTATTATATTTTGGTGCATTTTTTTGTGTTTTTCATATTTTTTCTTCTCCACAAAATTAGAATTAGAGAGAAAGTGAAAATATTATGAAGGAAAAAAAATATAAAAAATTATTATTCGTTTAGAATAACACAAACTTATATCATTTAAAATGATAAATAATTTTTCCTTTTAAGTAATGTAAAGATTTGAAAAGAAATGCAATAAGAAAATAGAATATAACTTACAAAATAACATTAAATCAATAATTAAACACTCTTGATGGAAACCTTACTTTGTTTTTGCCTTTGTGGCCCAAAAAGGAACACTAGAATTCACTCTTTTTCCATTGTGCAATTTCATTTTTTTACTAAAAATTATGTAAAAAAAGGAATTATATATCTAAAAACCAACTAAAATGGGAGCATAACAATTAAGTATTCTTGTGCCTCCGATAGAATTTCACAAATAATCTAAAATAATAAGCACACGTGATAATAGAATTTTATATATCAATTAATTTAGAGAGAAATTTGTGTAGCTGATCATTTTATTTATGAGCGAAGTTTTTTTATTTGACTTTTAAAATCTTTCTTTCTATAACTTATTCTGAAATTTGTAGCCTTTGTGGAATAAGAGTATTATGGTTCATAGGGCTTAATCATATCATATATAAATTAGAAAGGAATTTAGCATAACCCTAGTTATTAATAAAGTATCTACTGGCTCCACACCCATAACACCAATATCTACATTATGCTACTCAAGTTGACTTAGTACTAATAAAATTAAAAACTCAATTCATCATGACAACACTGAACTCATTATATAATTAATTAAATTAAAATATTTATTAATCTGATTAATTTAAAATATAAAATTATTAATTAATATTAACCACGTATAAAAAATTTCTAACACGTCATGATATTACAGTTTGTTTTCATTTTACCATTTTGTTATAGAGAAAAATTAATCTTATGTTACATGTGATAAGTTTTTCTCCTACACACTCTTCAATAGTTATGCCATCTTTTTTTTTTCCAGGTGGTGGAGCTCACAAATTTGTCTCTATAACATGAGATGACTTATCTCCTTTAACATGAGATTAATAAAACCCTTTTGGTATATAACTGTATCACCTAGTCTATTCTTTGGTTTGAATGATAGGACCACAACCCGCGGTCTTTAAAGCAATTGAACCAAAGCCAACAATACACGATAATGGATGGGTACAAACACTTTACGAGATAGGGCCATTCTCACATATAGAAGGAAATAACGGGCAACTGTGAATAGAGTGGTCCTCTTTGGTTGTGAATCTTTCAACGCCATTATTGCATTTGATCAAAATAACTCTATTTTGTCAATCACTGTACTCTTCTACCTCAATGCTTCTCATGTGATATGAATTTACATGACACGATTTTATTTCATGTAAGACAATGGTTATTTTTTACCATTAATTTGATATGGTCTCATATAAAATTATGTGATATTGAGAGGATTCTTTCCTCTCTTGTATTCTACCCAATTTGGGAATGGTCCAAAACAATATGCGAGTAATTCTAATAAGAGCCCGTTTGGATGAAATTTTTTTTATTCAAAAGCGACTTTTTTTAAGAAAAAAAATCTTTTTCGAAAAAAGTCTGTTTGGATGACTGCTTTTAAAAAAAAAAAACAGAAGTCATAAAAAAGCTAAAAACTTACTTTTTTCAAAAGCTAAAAATTTTAACTTTTAAAAAAAGCAGAAGTCAAAAGCCAAATATTTTTTTCAAAAATCAAATATTTTTTTTAAAATCTAAATAGCTGTAACTTTTATAGAAAATACTTTTAAAATAAGGAAGTGATAAAAATGACTTTATTAAAAAGTCCATACAAACGCAGCCTTAGTTGTGCTGTTCACAATAAGTCAATATAGTTAGGCATAATTAACATGATGATACAAAGTCATAGCCAAATGAATTAAGAATAGTCATAGAAATTCCCTGTCTGCATGTTCAAGGTGGAATGAAATTGAATCTACACGTCACCGAAATTATATTTGTGTCTTCACCGGGTCCAGAGTCTCACCCCTAAGGCCCTAACCCACCAGAAGGAAGGGGGAGTCTTGCTTGGTATGGTCAACACCAGTTACACCACTCACCTTATAAAAATTTCCCAAGTTGTGATAATTTTTTTTTCTTTGTACATGCTATGCTATTAAAATTTTATTGGACAAATTTTCCGTAAAAATATTATCATGCCATCATATTGCAGAACTTTATCCTCTTTTATAGTCAGCTTTTTTTTTGTCACAAAGCATTTCCTTACAATTTGGTCACTTATTCCAAAAAACAAAAAACGGTAATATAAACCCCCTCAGTCATAAATTGACTCCATGGCCCAATGGATAAGGCGCTGGTCTACGGAACCAGAGATTCTGGGTTCGATCCCCAGTGGAGTCGTTTTTTTTTTCTCTTCCCGAGACTAGGATGTTGTTTCTCACACAGTCTGCCCTTCAGTAATATAATAGCAGCATGATGAATGAAAAGGATAGAAAATTTAGGGTCTGATTTTTTTTTTTTTAAACTGTTTTGTAGAATAATTATGGAAACAATTGTTTTCTATGTTTTTTTTATTTTGAAAGTTAAAAACCAAAACAAAAACAACCAGACATGTTCTCTAAATTTGATTCTAAAAAAAAAAAAAACAATTACGGTTTTTAAAACTTTTTTTATAAAACAGGCCTTACCAAACGAGTTTTTTTATTTTTTTTGTTCTAAAAACTAAAAAACTGTTTTTGAAAACAATATTCAAACAGAGCCTAATATTTTCCGGTTCCAGAGGTTTTGGTCGCTTATGAAGCGGTGCTCACAAGAGCTATTATCACAAATTCGCATATTGCATGTTTTAAAAGTTATTGCATTACATCTCTCTTCAAAAATACACAACAAAAGGATAACTTAGATTCCAACTGAATTTCTAAGGATTTGCTTGGGTCAGGAATTTAAATCTTTGATGGTCACAGAAGGTGCATCTCTCCTCGAATGAGAGATTAGTTTCAATGCACCTGCTTCCTTCCAACGAAAGAAGGATACCTCCAAGTTATATCAACAACAAAAAAATACACAACACAGCCATCAAGAATCAAAGTGCAGATGCGCTACCCATCTATTTGCAGCTTTGATTAAAAACTGTTAACTGTGCCAGTGTCGTGGTTATTTTCCCAATTGTGAGACTTACATTATAACACAGTGAAATGACCACAAAGAGAACCCTACAAAAAAAAGCAGCATGATCCGTAAATATTGTTAAAATCAGCATGTTAACTGTGCTATGTCAAAACATCACATTGGCAGATATTGTGCTGATCCGAATTAGAATATATCACATTAACTACCGAGTTCCATGATCTTCAATAAAAGTTCAGTCCTAATTAAATTACAGGCTCCTGCCTTCAATCAATCAGACACCCAAAAATTTACCACCGGAGGGGGGGAACAAATTTACAATGTTTCAAGATGTAACAATACATGAGGCAAAAGTCTTAGTGCCAGTACTCAATGATTCTTTCACCAATTCCTGGAGTAAAATGAACAAAACGATTAGAAAAGACAAGAGGACAAAATAGTATTAAGTTTTGGTCATCAAAAGTTGAAGATGACTCTTAACACAAAACTGCTCTTCACCATCTCTCTCTTGACCTTGACCTGTAAGAAAGCAAATATCAGTGATTTCTCAAGACCAAAAAAGGCAAAACAATACAAAGCTAGAAATTTCGTAAAAGAATACAACGGAAGAAGAAACACAATTGAAGCCCAAGCCACTGTTAAATAAAGTGGTCACAACCAATTAGTATGTTTTAGGGTGTGCCACAACTCAGATTTGAAACTTTTACTCCAACCCCAAGAGATTCCAGATCTACAGTACAGGTTTTCACAATTCAATCACCATAGTAGCCAACTGGAGGCTCATTAGGATTTAGGCTTATGGGCTATGTATGAACTGTAGCCGGGTAAATGGATTCACTAGACCTGCATGATCCTTCCCCAAATCCGAAAGAAAATAAACAAAATAAAAGGAACAGGGGGATGTATTGGGTATAACTTTGATTCAAAATAAAACCCTTTACATTGAAATTTGACCAAAATCAAATCTAGCTTCTATGTCTAGTAACAAATTGCCGCCAGAACTGGCATCAAGGGGAAAAAAAGAGGCTGTGTATTCTCACCTATTCATGTCTCTGCTACTCAGAAACCCTCGTCTATCCCTGCTACCTTGAGATGGTCTTTTGTCATCACCAGGACGCATCCAAGTATCTCCTGCGCCACGGGATCGAGGTCTGTCTGCAAACTCCACTCTTCTAGAATCCTCAAATGAGCCAGATTCAGAAGGTGGCCTATCAGGAAAACCAGTAGTCTTTCCTGCAGCAGAGCCTGGCCTTTCAATGGCTTTTTGCCCAAATCGAACTTTGTCATCCAAATCACGGATAAGAATTTCCAGTTCCCTTTCTTTCTGAAGTAACATTGCACGTGTACTGGTTTGGTCTCCACCGGTCTCATCCATAGATTCCTTATTTGAATTTGTTGTGGAGTCTTTCTCAATTTCTTTCTTCAAATTATCAATTTCTTCCTTCAACAATTTTTCCTCCACTGTTTCTGGCCTGAAATATTACTTTAGAAGTCAAAGAAGGTAACATGAATATGCAGAAGATCAACAAAGTCACAACTCACAAGCATGGAATAATTAAAACCAAAATGATACTGAAATTTTGTGCATAAGCAAGCTAGGTGGATACAAACAAGGACAAGATTAAATTTATGATACGTATTGATTAATGCTAAACTCATGGGAATAAATTATATGGTATAGAATCTTGATTCAAACCATTAGCATCCTCCCAATGAATTTTTCTACAAGTCAATTATGTCTAAAACAAACTAAATAGATGTTTCCTTATCAGCTATTTGTTTCATTCTTGACTACCTGACGCAAGACATAAGTGCAAGAGTTTCATTCTAGCTGAAGTCCTAAAATTTATTAGGGCTAGGAATAAACCTGGAACTTACCAAAAAAATTATACACGAAGAAGAAAAGAACAAGAAAAAGACTTAAATACTATTCATAAGAGAGAGATGTACAGTGCCCATGATGGGCACACTCGCAGCATGTCCAAGACCACCAATAAATTTCACATGGGTTCCACACATGGGCGTTGACACATGCCCCGCAGGTAATGTCCCCATACAGGTATTTTTCCATAAGATTTACGATCAATTGAAACCATCACTATTTGATAAATTCAACAAGCAAGATCAATATAATAAGCATTTTTATTGCACTCTGAAAAATTATATTATATCTGTATGTACGATTATAAAATTTTACACGATTGTCTATGGATCCAACCCCTCAATATGCACAATGTTCTGTGTGGTCAGATTTAATTATAGTATGTTCCATCTTAATACATGACCCATATACTATTTAGGACAGTACTGAGCATTGACAACCTTTTCAATTTGGCCTGTTTGCTTTAAAATGTAAAGTACCAAAGACCAAATTTACGGACAAACTTGGACACAAGCACTGTCAAACGAAATATCAGTTGTACGCTAACTTTGTAGAAGTTAGATTGATTAAAGAATCCTGAAAAAAAGTCCCTACCTTGTACAGTTCACATTAACTAAACTACTGAATATGCTTGGAACTATTACCCTAAAAATATTGAATAAAGACATGAAAAAGACAAAAAGTCAAAAAGCCACCTGATTTCCATTGAGTGAGTCAATAAGATTAGAGTGCTGGATACAGATTTAACACCGCTAGTGTTTAATAGCCCAACAACTTGAAACCCCATTATCATAACAAAATCTATCACGCTAAACTCTTCCTTATTTTCATAACCACTATACCAATTCCACAATTAGCTCTTGACCTCGCAATTAGAAGATACATTAACAACTTCCTCTGCTAACAAGAAAACAGCATCAGTTAACTTAATTTTTCCAAGACACAAGTGCCTAATCCAAAATGAAACCATCCCCAGTGCCAATAATTAAATCCACGTTCATCTCTTGTCCTAATAAAAACCCACCGACAAAGAATCACCAAATCCAATTGATTCACCATGCTAGGACATATCAAGAGATAAGAAACTTATATTATATGATCCTAAGTTTTTATAACAGTAACGAAGTCTATTTCATAAATACCAGCACAACCATTGAAACCGTGGAAATGAGGGATATAACCAGACCAGGCCCTCAAGACATATGACCAAGAAACAGATGACAGGCATGTTAACATCCCATTACAGGAATGTCAGAGCATTATCAACAACAACCCTCCAAATAGGGGAATGTAATATTGTAATGGCATCATGAAAAGTATTTCTCCGGTCACTGGTATAAAATTATCTCCAGTAAGTTCAAAACGACGTGATTTTAACTTATAAGATTACAAAATTATAATGATAAAAACTAATATAACCGTAGAATATATTAAAATTACAAAAATACATTGATTTCTGTCCCAAAACGACGTCGTTTTGGGCTCACCGGAGATAACTTATCTCCGTCGAAACAATCCTTTACCCTTAAATTAATTGCAACATTATATCATATTCATATCACAATGATTAAAAAGTATATCATCAACCAACCTATCAACACGGCGATGCTCCAATTCAAGATCAATCTTCCTCCAATCCTTACCTCGCTCCTCAAGCAAAACTTCCCTAGGTTTTGCATCCCCAAAGGGATTCACCTTTGGTCTTGCTTTCACCACAGTTTCAGGTGCACCCTCAGAATGACTAGATTGAGCACTGGAGGGCCTACTAGAGTGTGAACTCGAAGGCCTACTCGTTTTCTTAGTTTCAATTTCCGACTCAACCTTCTTCCAATCCAATCCCTTATCAGCCAAAACTTCCTCCCTTGGCCTCGCCGCGCCAAATGGATTTGGCTTCACCACCACCGAAACCTCTCCTCTCGGAGGATCCAATTCCAATCTGGGTCGCTCCCTATCACTGTCACGCTCAAACCGGGTCCAGCGATCAGGCTCCGAACCCGAATCACGAAACCCGGAACCAAATGTAGAAGATCTTGCAGGAATAGGCTTCTTACCAAGCCCCCAATTATCCACCCCATCAGCCCTAGACCCTGACCCACCACCGAGCGACCCTGACCCGTAACGATTTTGCCGACCCGAATCGAAAACCGGAAGAGATTTCTTCACCGAAGCCCAATTATCAACCTCGTCAGCTCTCGAAGGTTGATCAAAATCAGAAACCCTAGAAGGAGGAGGTCCACCTCTGCGTTCTTCATCAAATCCACCATAGGATCTTCTTCCTCCTCCGCCCCACGAACCATCATTGTCACGCGGCGGAGGACCGGACCGGGCGCCGCCGCCGTAGGAGGAGAAGCCACCGCCGAGACGGTTGAACTGCATTTCGTCGGAGGAACGCTCCTTCGGCCCCGTCGGAAGACGGCGCATCTCGTCCGGCGTCGAGCTCGAATATTCCGTCGCGGCGGTGAACTCCATGAGCGACATCTTCTTCTTCACCTTGGGCTTTGCACTCACAGTCACAGCCTCCTTCAGGCTCGGGAAGTTCCGGGCTTCGCGCTGAGCTTCACGCTCCTCCGCTTCGGCCTGCTCGGCGTCTGCGGCCCACGCGCCGATTTTGCCCCACGGTTTCGACATTTTCACGATCAAAGAAAAAAAACGGTTGTTATTTGCGGGGCTCCGTTAATGGAGCCGAAGCTCCGAGAACATGCGAATTGGAATGGGAGGGAATAACTAGAATGAGTGGTTATGACAGTTGAGAGAGAGAGAGAGAGAGAGGTAGGTTTCGAGTTTTAACCAAATGGAACATTAACATGGAAGGAAAGTGGTTCTGGGCAACTAATGACTCACGCGCTGGTGAGGGAGAGTAATTGCCACGCTTTTAAGGTGGGACGGGAAAATATGTGTCATAGTATTTCCCACTTTTCGTTTGTTTTCTCTTTTGGGTCATCAGTTAAGGAAGAACTGACCCTTAATCTCTTGCGTATAATATATTATCGACGATTAGAATACTCTTGAATTTATTTTTTAATCCTTTTGTTTATTTTTATTGGTTGTTTATAATTTCTTTTTTTTTTTTTTGGTGGATGGTTGTTTATAATTTTATTTGTGGTTCTTGTGCTTTTTAGTAACTAAGCAAAAATAGGCAACGGTGCTACTTGTTTTTATGTCTTCTGAATACTATTTAAATAAAGGGTTTATATGTTTCTTCTATAATTGAGGTTAAAGTTATCTTTTGTAACTCTAAAATTATTCTAAAGATTAAGTGAATTAATGAATGATCTATTAGTAAAATTCATATAATAAAAAAATTATCAAAATACCCTCTATTAATTTCTTCCGTTATCAAAATGATATAATTTTGAGGTTGCAAATAATTTTAGTGACAAAAAAAAAATATATTTCCCTTAAATAAATTATGTGTTTTCTATTACTTTTAGCCTTTATATACCTTTTTTATATTATTAAACCTGTTTACTATTATCTTATGATGAATCGATTACATTTAGTTGATTTAGAATAGCAAGTGAATATTTATGTATATAAAAAAAAAAACTCCAAGCCAAAGTGATGACTAAGTTTTAGATTTTTATAAATGAAAATTATATCTCTCATGTTACACTCACATATAATCTGCACCAAGCAACAAAATATTATCTCTGCGACTCATTAACCAGACATTTAATTATGCTAGGAAGTTGTAGAGGATTGTCTGATAAGAAATGCAATGGCTCGTGTCTCTAAAATTTCTTGGTGTCTAGATAATAGGTGCTAATATTGTCTCTTCAAATTGTTTATTTATGATGTAATGCGTAACTATACAATTTTTCACCTCTGTATTTTGGTAATCTAAGTGGCTGAACTATTCCACTGCTTGTTTGAGTGAGAAATTTTTTCGTGATGAAGCAGAGATGTAAAATGGCTTCAAATATTGTGTATTATTTATTGGAGATTGGTTATCTTCTTTGAATTGAAAATAAAATTGCTATTTATTTTTATTTACCATGTTTCCTGTTTCTGGGTATATGGTTATGACCTAAGGTTTTGCGAAGAAACCATGATAAGTTCACCTTCCATTCATGATTGACATTATTTTTTCATCTGTTATTTGGAAGGTTTTTATGGCTATGTCAATGTATAGTGTCTAAATATAACAATCGTCTACAAAGAGATCAATAAAATCAGATTTTAGATGCAAGAATAATGTCACAAGCCCATGGTCACATATTTCGATTAGGTTCTAAATAGCATTGTTTTTTAGTTAGTAAGGCTAAAGTACGAAATTAGGTATCTAAAGTGAAACCCTTAATATGTAACGGTTAAGCCAAGAGTATTGCAGCCTCTTTATCGAATTGTGAAGCTAATTTTTTCAGTTCCTTATGACAGTCAAGCTTTGCCTTGAAAAACTGGCTGCACAATTAGATTAAAGCATTTTTGTATTCAGAAGATCAGCCAAATCTGCGCTGCACATTTCAGTGTCTAACAGGGAATGTGAAGTCGGTTTATTTCCAAGAAATTCTAAAAGTAAACAGACTCCTTAAACAAATTCTGTTTATTTTGTTTACTACGCATTTTTATGTGAAGTGTTAGTAAACAACTCCTTAATTTTGTAGCTGAGTATTTTTTAATTTAGTGCTGTAAATAAAATATAGTGACAAATTTAATAAACGTAGCTCTACATTGAGATGAATCAGGATCAAAGCCATTTTCCGCTTTTCTTCCATTCTTCTTTTCTATTTGCCATTGTGGTTTGTGGGTGATTAAAGTGGTCCTACATATGCTAAGTGGGCATAGGTATGAATTTATCTATAAAAAATCATTTCAATCCAAAAGTTTAAGCTGTTGAATGAGTCTATATTAATAGTTTATATTATTCTCTAACACATCCTCTCATGCAAGAATTTTTTGAACTTGAAACATGCATATTGCACATGTCCAATTTTTAGTTTACCTTGTGCTTTTTTTAAATTTTACTATAAAGTAAACGCTATTGAATCTATTGAAAAGAGCCACAACTGGTTGGGTGAGCTAACAGGGAAGGTGAGATGGGAGCAAATGCACAGATGTTAAATGAAGTTGAAATCAGGTCAACAAAGGTGGGTACAAATGGCTAAGGGTTTGATCTATATCCCATCAAGGCGTGAGTTCAAATCCCACTTGTTAATATGAGGACTTTGTTGGTAGGTGAGATATAATTACTCCCGGGATGACATATAATCCCTGATGACATACTAGTGTCTAACCTAGAAGAGCACAAGGATCATGTATTACCTAGAGGGAATTGGATAGAGAAGTAGGGTGTATATTCTGATAGTGAAGACAATTTTCTCTCATTAATCTGAACCTCTATATCTTCTAACTTTGTAACTGAGTATATCTCTGTAACTTGTTTTCTATTTCTACTAAAAATATTCCCCGTTAGTATGACATTTGAAGGTTGCCTTACAATTGAAGCATAAGAGCAATTTCTATTCTATATACATTATCCAAACAGAGACTTGTATGCAATCTATGCTACTCAAATACATCTAGAGTTTCTCAGCTTTCTAAGGTCACTATGAATAAAATTCTTCTAAAATCAATAAATCATTATGAGTACCAAGATTGGAATAAACGTCTAATCAATTCATATTCCATTCATCCTAATAGGCAATCTCTCACAGCACAGGCAATGAAGTCCGGTCTCTGGATTATCTGGTACCTGCATGACTGACTATGCATTCCCATTAACTGCTGCAGTCAAGGCAATTCACCAATCCTCATGTCAAAAAGAATGGAAATTAACTACTATTACTCTATCAGTATTTTACCAATTTACAAATCTTTTTTACAAATTACACTAAGTATGATCGGTCGTACATTCTTGATTGATTGAAATATGACCGGTCATACTTAATGTAGTCTGTAAACAAAAATTTGTAAATATAACCTTCTCCGTTTTACCAATCCAGTAACAAGAAGTATTTCGCCAAATTAAAAGACAAACATTAACGACAAGAAAACATTAAAAAAGAGAGAGAGTAAAATATACCTCTGTATATGCAGACTAGTTAACACCTACATACTACATCATCAAATTAGAGCCAAAAGCATGAATTCTTCTTCACCACCGATGAATCTGTCATGGTCATACCACATATTCATGTAATGCAAAACCTTCAACCTTTGACAGTCAACAACAATATTTTTCTTTGCCCTTATTATAATATTGAAAAAACAAATTAGCTCTAACCCTTTCAGGGAACATAACTAACCCCACCCTGACCATTTACATAAAAAACAAATAATAAGAATATAAAAGTTGGATTAAAAAAATTAAGGTACACACAGGGAATATGCCTTTATCCAATAATTGACCCAAAGAAGAAAATTGTAATCATCTCAGCAATAACTTTGGAGGGCAGGTAATAAAAAATTGAGAGAAAGAATCAAAGTTACGAATCTAAATCTGGAGAAGACATGTTATTTTTCTTACAGAGGTTGATTCCATGGGCATCTGCAAGATGAAATCTTTAGTAGATTTTTGCATGGAAAACAAAACGTTGTGCCACGTGTTGACCCTGGATCGTGTCTTAACATTCAACCCAACGTTCATGCCAATCAAATCCTCTTTCTCCACCATGAGAACCTCCTCTGGTTCAGCACCATCCAACATCCAAACCAAACACCAACAGAAACCTTTTGATATCTCAGAATCACTGTCGGCTCTGAACCTCATCCTCCCAACGTTGTCCATCTCCGCCACAACCCATACCTGGGTGGAGCAACCCACGACCCGGTTCTCAACAACCCGCTCCGAATCCTCCAAGGGTGGTAAGAGAGCCGCGTAATGTAGCAGCCTTTTGACCCGATCGATTGGCTCCGAGAGAGACCCGAATTCGGAAGCGAGAAAGTTAAGCTTATTGGCGACGCCACCACCAACGTTGGCAGAAAGTGTTTGAGAAGCCGTTAATCTGAATCTGGAAGTTGAAGGAGAGGTACATAGGACATTAACAACGTTGTTGTTTTTGTTGTTGTTGTTGGTAGCGGTGAATTTGAGTTGCGTGTGTTTGGGTGTAAACGTGTTAAGTTTTGAGAAAGGAGATAAATGTGGAGAAGCATGAGACAGAGTCAATAAGGTGGCACTCGTTGCAGTTGAAGAGACCATTTTTTTTTTTTTAATTTTTAATTTTTGGAAGATCAGAGAAAGAATTGAAACAGAGAAAAAATGGGAAATGAAAACATGAGGGTAGAGAGAGAGAGAGAGAGAGTGTGTCCTTTGGGTGAAGGGTCATAACTCATAAGAAACAGAGAGAGAGAGAGAGAGAGATGTATATATAAATAAGGAGAGTTCAACTCAAACCTTACCACCATAGCCGCCGACCCGCCAAAATTAGCATAAAACTAAATATACAATTTTGTTACCTTACATACTCCTTAGTCACTTTCTTCTTATGTAAAACTAAAGATAATTGTTGTTTTTTTTTTTATCCCAATATAATAAATGCTTTATTTTTCTTTTTCATTTTCCTTTTCCTTCTTTGAAAACAAGGGAGTAAAAAAAGAAATATCCCACCAATATAAATACGTGTGAGTGGGTAACAAGTTAGCCACGTCATTGGCCTCCTCGTACGTAAGGGATGACATAAACATTTTAGGGTACATGGAATATATCTCTGTTCGATACACCAGGGTCGATGGTGGATGGTGATCGTGGCATCCATGCGAAATTAGATTTACTATCCACGTTCTCCGAAGCTGGTCATCCGAAGCTGGTCATCGCCTTATTATATAAAAGCTAGTATTGTAAATATAAGGTACACATTTTTATTTGGACTTACTACACGTTAGATATAGGCCCAATTTCTAAAGATCCAAAGGACCAAAAAAACCTATGTGTCTTGACCCACAAATCTCTTTATATCTTATTACCGATGATTTATAGGATGAACCATTTTCCACATCTTTGGCCAAACAAAGGCGAAAGATTATTGAAGAATTATGAGCAAGATCTAAGAAATTTATAAATCTAGAAGATTATCAACGATATCACGCGGACCCAAGTGAAAAGCCTATGGCCAATAAATTCAAGCGAGATTTTCAAAGGAGGTTCAAGAAGAGGAAAAAGTTTGAAAACTATGTCTCCGAACACATCTCGATCTCGCATAATAAAAGAAGTGTTCCAAGTTGGCTTTCTCAGTGTTGTCAAACCACCTCCAATAAAAAAAAAGAGGTAGGTTGGATGACATCAAATTTTGTGAATTTCATGAAGATGTAAGACACCCTATGGAATATTGTTTTGATCTCAAAAACACTATTGAGATTCTGATCAGAGAAGACAAACTTAGTATATCGCAAATTGCAAAGAAGAAAAAATTCAAAGAAAGTTCAACCATTATATAACTGCAACACTTGTCACCAAAAATTTTGTGTTAATTGTCTAAGTCGAACTGAAGTTTTTCAAACAACTTGTAATTGAACTGTTCTATTCAATGTCAAGGCTCAAGTCGAAAAAAGTTTCATCCCTAGCTATTAATGTTTCACATTGCAAGCACTTCCCTCGTTGGTGAGTATTCCCTGATCAGATTAATTTACAATAATGAGATTCCAAAAAAAAAAACTTTAAAAGTCCTATTTTTGTGATCACTATGGAGTGGGAGAAAGAAACCAAAGTAGCAGCTCCTCGCCCCTTCCCCCCAAACCAAATCCCCCCAAAAAATAAGAGGGAGTATAATAGATTTGATCCGATACAAAGTTCACAATTTATGGTTACTCCAAGCTTGGCTACAAGCACCATGCTAGAATAAAAGCATTATATTGGCAGATAAACGTCACCTGAAAATTTATGTGCACCGAAGTAACTAAGGGCTTTATGTTAGCACCATTAGTTGGATCGTTCATATGTCCATTCACAGCCTTTTCAGGTGGTCATGTCTCTTGATCATTTTTTACCGCCCGGGCCTCTTTCTCCAAAATGTCAACAAGTTCATTTAACAAAAAGTTCAAGAAATGAGACGATTAACAAAGACAATGTTGTTTTTTAATTATTTTTATAAAAATACCTAGATTAATCAGAGACATCCTCTAACAAACAATATATTGAGTCTTGTAAACAAAATTGACAATGTATTTGATAAATATCGAATGGGATACAATATATGAGTAACTATGATGAGGATGGAGAAGTCTAGTATAGAAATCGAGATATTAGACACTTAATTTATTTATGGGGTGTTATTTTTATTTTCCCAGAGCACAATTAAAGGAATAAAAAAAATACCCCAATAAACAATATAGCCACCTAGATGACCAAAATATAGAGGTGAAAAATTTTAGAGACACAAAAGTCATTGCATTTCTTTTCAGACAATCCTCTCCAACTCTCTAGCATAACTAAGTATCTGATTAATGAGTTGTACAGAAGAAATTTCTCTGCATGGTGCAGATTCTTTTGCCTTTAGAAAAAAGACACAACCTTTCTCTATCTCACACTCACATAAATGAAAAAGGAACTAATGTCATTCAAAGAAATACCATTTTTGCAACTCATCAACCAAATTTTTTTGCCTTTTAATTGAACTCAAGGAAGGTAATGTAGAAAGAGAAAGAAGGAGAGAGAAAGAGAATACCATAAATATGAACTGATTCCGTATTATTGAAGAATGAAGATAATACAAGAGAGAGTGCAGTACAATCTATTTATAGAGCCAAGAGATGAGTCAAGGATAAGTCAATAATTAACAAAGTTTAACAGAGACTTTAACCAATCATAACAAAAAATCAAAAAATATTCACATGGAGTAAGTCACATAGTAATTACAATAAGCACAATTTAACAGAAAGCTAGAATACGAATCTATTCTATTTATACTCTGATACGTTTGAAAAAAGACAAAACCATTCTTTAATTGTCTCCCACACACATAAATGAAAAATGAACTAATGCATTTGGACATTTTGATGAGCAAGTCCGCAACAACTCTTTGCCCTTGGAAAATGATAAAGTGCATAGGAATATGCAATGCCTACACAAAGCAAATGTCATCCCATTACTAATTAATACAATGCCAAAAAAGGTACATGGAGAGATTAAAAAAGCAAATGACAATACAAGCCTTATCAATAAAGTGCCAGAAAACACGTATGGGACAGTGCACACCGCAACTTCAACCAATAAAAAGATGACGTGCGATTAAATCTTCGTCACATATCATTGCAGCTCCTGCAATTTCCATCGCTGATGACACTAATGTTGGACCAATCACAACTGTCAATTTAAGCTCAAATAGATAACCTCATCCTATCACTATAAGGCCTTGTGTCAAAAAGGAAAATAGCATACACAAAAAATTCAAGGAGGGAAGGGGGAAACGATTTTAAAGCAGTGTACGACAAGCCCCAAACGCCCCTTTTTTCATCTTTCAATTACTTTATATTTCCTTATTTTCACTAAATAATCCTGTGATAAGGAGAAGAATAGAGATGACATTGAGAAACATCAAGACTACAAGAAGGTCCCAACGCATATTAATGATGGCATACCATGCACTACTACTTACAAAACGTTTCAGGTTGAATTGCCCAACGCTTAACATGCTTTGTTAATATCAGAGCAACACTAAAGGAATAAAAAAATACCCCAATAAACAATACAACCACCTTGATGACCAAAATACAGAGGTGAAAAATTTTATAGCTCCGCATTACATCAGACATAAACAATTTCAAGATACGATATCAACACCTATTATCTAGAAACCTAGATATTTTAGAGACAAAAAAGCCATTGCATTTCTTTTCAAACAATCCTCTCAAACTCCCTAGCATAACTAAGTGTCTGGTTAATGAGTTGTAGAGAGGAAATTTCTTTGCATGGTGCATATTCTTTTGCCTTTTGAAAAAACCATTTTTTATCTCCCATTTATATAAATGAAAAAGGAACTAATGTCATGCAAACAAATATCCTCTTTGCAACTCGTCAACCAGATTTTTTGCATGTTTAACAGAGTTCAAGGAAGAGAATGTAGAAAGAGAAAGAGAATGCCATAGATCTGAACTGATTATGTATTATAAAGAACGAAGATGATACAAGAGAAAGTGTATCACAATCTATTTATAGAGTCAATAGCAGAGCCAAGGATGAGTCAACAACTAACTAATTACAACAAAAACTCTAACCAATCATAATAGAAAATCAGAAAAATAACCATAACCTATGAATTGTGAATTTGGAAGTTGATTAACAATTTTATCATGATTAATAATTTAACTATGGCTAAGATAGATTAATTAGATGAAAGGTCTAATTATGTGAAATAAAATCACTTTTGGGCAAAAGTGCAATTAGGGAAATTTTTTGGGTAAAAATATAATTAGGCAAAAGATACCCGAAACTTGAAAATAATGTGGTGAGACATTATTTAATGACTTTAGTGAATGTTGGAAATAATATTTAGATGATTTAAACTTTGTTTTGGAATTAAATTTGATGAAGAAATATGGATGAAATTAACTAAAAGCTACTTTGACTTTTGAGGTCAAAGGTGATTAGTGAATTAAAATGACACTTAAGTCATCTTTTTCTTCGTGTTTCTCTTGAGCTTGATAATCACTTTGAGTTGTAGTCATTTAAACATCAAACGATTGGTATGGAAAATGATCACTTCAACCTTGTGAAAATATCCCACTACAGAAACACCATTGAGGGCAGTGGGGGACTCAGAAAATTTTATTTATGTCCGCACACTTAGTGGCGGGAATTTGGGGGCAACCCTCCCGAAAAAATTTTCAAAAGAAAATTTTAAATGCATTAAAAAGTAAAAGAATATAAACAAGAAAAAAAATGAGTAAATTTCTCCGGTTGACAAGCTTTATTTTTAAGCTCCAATAATGTCTAGATATCGAGCAATCATAGAGGGAAGTGATTGGCCACATGGCTGGCCACTGCTTGTTCTTCCCAATGGGCCACTCTTGAAGGACACCTGCATCCTCACATTGGTTGAAGATATTATTAAATATTAACACTCTTTTTTGTTTTAATAAATAAAAGTTTAACTAAAACGAAAAGGAACTAACAAATACGATGTTTTTGTAGTCATCTTCTTCCTTATACTCAGTTTTTTAAATTTTGCACACGCAGAGGATTACAATGAAGATTGAGCAGTGGCGCACGTGCGAAGACTCCTCAACATTGTCGCCTGCACCACTAGCTTTGGTCCGTCGTCTCTACAGCAGCCACTAATTTTGAATCCTAGCACTTCAAGGAAGACGACAATT